TACCAAATGCTAAAATAAGCATTTAAAATATTTGCACATTTCCATCGATAGAATGAAGGTTTCATTAATCTTTAAAAAGTAGATTTGCTAGGGAGTAATTCTGCTCAGTTCCAAGTCTCCAGTTTCAAATTTCAGTTCTTAAAATGAAGGTGTATATAGGGATTAGGAGGTCAGGATAGTTATTAACACAAGAGTCAGAGCAAATGTATGAGAGCAGTAACTTGGGCCCTTAAGAGCCCTAACAAAAAGGAAGGAAGGTCAAAAAACTGGCATAAAGTTGAGCTGGAGCTGGCTGAATCAAAACAATGGACTGGTAATTGAAGTCTAAAACTCTGGCAAAGACCTGAGTGTTGATCCTTAATTACCTTTTGTAGCTAACAGGGCAAAAGCTAAAACATTGTTTTGAAGTATTTGGCTTTAAGAGAGATAAAAAGAGAAAGGCAAGCTAGCATCCTGAAGCTAGCTGTGCTTGGGTAAGATAATTTACATAACAACGGAGTGAAAATGTTACTCAAGGTAACATTAGCTTAGTACATGCTAGCTAATTACGGACGCTCATCATAGCTGGCATGGTTTCCATACCGCTCAACTATCCAGTTCTACTGTGGGTACAAATTCAATCATTAAAATGCTCTTCAGTCAACAATCCTTCCAGACCCCTCAGGTCTTCTGGTTCTGCTCTGCATCCCCAGAACCAAAACCAAACGAGGAGAAGCAACATTCAGCTTCTATGCGCCACAAATCTGGAACAAACTTCCAGAAAACTGTAAAACAGCTGAAACACTGAGATCCTTTAAATCTCGACTAAAAACCCACCTGTTTAGAGTTGGATTTGAAATGTAATCAATCACGAATTTAACGATGACACTTGACTTAATGTAATGTTTTGATTTTTGATTCTACGTTACATGACTCTGTTTTTGTGTTTGATGTAAAGCACTTTGAAATGCCTTGCTGCTGAAATGTGCTACAGAAATAAAATTTGATTGATTGATTGATTGCCTGCCTGTACTGAAGCTGAGCATTGGCACAGAAACAAGTCAGAACCGGTGGAAGCCTACCCTGCTGAATGTAGCTCATCACGTAAGCAAAGATGCTGTAAAATTGGCTGAAAAAACAAAAGCTGGATAGCGCTGATGTAAAAGAATCTACACTGCTCAAAAAAATAAAGGGAACACTCAAATAACACATCCTAGATCTGAATGAATGAAATATTCTCATTGAATACTTTGTTCTGTACAAAGTTGAATGTGCTGACAACAAAATCACACAAAAATCATCAATGGAAATCAAATTTATTAACCAATGGAGGCCTGGATTTGGAGCCACACACAAAATAAAGTGAAATGTTCCCTTTATTTTTATTGAGCAGTATATTTGAGAATAAAATATTCCTTTGTTGCTCACTTTGAAAATATGAGTTTATCAGTCGGAAATTAAAAGGCATATAGGAATACAACACAGTAATACAACACAGTGCTATCAGTTAAAAAAAATACTGATGGCAAAATTTAACATTACATACATAAAGGATATTAACTCTATGAGACATGCTGTCCACTGTTTTGCCATACAGGGAAGTAACTTTTAAATAAGATTTTTTTTTCCTAAATGCTGTTGAATTACCTTCTGTTCATTTGGCAATGAACAAGTTGACATTCTTTTACTTGTAAACTGTATTTTCCTGGAGGAAAGTAGATTCTGTGCTGCTCTTTATACACTTGGTCAGCTTTCTGAAGTATCTGCATCACTGCTGGTGGAGAAACACTCTGACCTGCTTATTGTCATTCCTGAGCAACATCTGCCCTGGTGGCAACCTTATCCCATATTTGGATCCTATTTAGGAGTCAAGTATGGCACTTGCTTCACTGTGACTGGAACTCTTCCCTCCAATGTCTTGATGATTCAGTAAATGGCTGATCTTGTGTCTGTTTAATGAATGACTTGTGTTTTCTGGGAGCTTCACAAGCACTGCTATCGCTAAAACATTTCTGTTCTTTTCATTGAATCAGGAGGATGTCCTGTCATTTTTAAAAAAAATACATTTTTGCTATTGATAAAATTAATTGCATTTTGTCCAATCACTTCACATAGGAGCCTGTTCTCAATAAAAATTCTCAAAGTTAAAGCAAAAGTAATCATTCAGTGTCTCTCAAAGCTTATAGCTGTAACAATAGATGATTGTTGATTCCAGTAAACAAGGCATCAGATATAATCTTTTATTTATTCTCCCAGAGCTGAATGACTTTACACTCGTCTGCTTCAGAATGCATTTGTCATAGATGTGCTGTTGAATACTAATCACAGGAAGTAAGAGAGAGCTTATTACAAACCTTACCTGGAAAATGTCAGCGCACCTAAATATAATAGAAGCAGCTACATTCTCATTTCGTTTCAAGAGCAAGGATTAAGCTCAATACTCTTAGTAATACATTTATATATGAAAAGCTTTACCCATAGACATCGATATATGCATGAGCAGAACAGTATTATCATTTATGAGAGCAGGAACTCCCAATGTTTGGCCAGCGGTAAGAACTTAAAAATAAAAGTTGAAAATAGATGTTGGAACAAGTGCTCAGGTTGCCTGAAGAGACCGTCCCATTCAGGTTTAATGAGTGAAATAGGATCGTGTGGTAGCTGCAAAGGAGATGGAACAGAGGTTCTTGGGTAGAAAAGAAATGGAAAATAGAAATGTTGGTTGCAGAGGAATGCTTTGTAGATATTTGTTGTTTTATTTGTCCAGTGCAGATTAATCTTGAAATGTTCATGTCTGTATAAAAAGACACTAAACCATTGGTTCTTACTGAACTTAGCTAGTTCAATAAAGGTTAAAAAAACTTTTAAATTCATGCTACTGTAGGTTCTGTAAAATTTGATGTCTTTTCTCTTTTTGCCCTCTCATATCTTAAGTCGCCCAAGTCAGTTTGTTGTTCTCCGTGGGGTTAAGTGATGTCGCGTGATTGACATTTAAATGGGACATTTTCTACTCACTGTCATTTGGAAAGTGCGGAAACATTGCAGTGATCTTTCAACTCCATTTCTTACAGCCTCTCACATGTGAGAAATTTCATTTAGAGTCCTTCTTTACACCACATCTTTCATCTACATCTTTTACTAAAAAGGGATTTTTAGTTTCCTTTTTTAAAAGGTTTTGTAGGAAACTGTATGGCTATTAGTATGGTGTGGATTTTTAGGTTGAACATTTGTTCTCTTCTATTGCAACTGCAAAAGCTGAAAAAAGCTCTTATCCACTGAACATCCCCTGGAGTTCAGTTAAACCTATAATTGAGAAATAAAAGGAATATGGCCCATGTGTAAAAGCATTTGAAAAATAAGCCATGAGTGTAGCACAGTTACGTTGATACTCATTATGACTGGGGTTTATGATTGTAAAAAATGAAAAAATAAAATATCTGGTGGTTTCACTACTTAAATTCCTAATAGTGACAGTGGATGACTCCAATATGTTTTCAAAGCAGAAGTCGTGATTTATTACAATTAGAAAACATAAATTTGCAAACCAGCAAATAAAACCAGCATACAAAAACCAAAACCTTATTTTTAACGTGGACACAAAGCTTATAGTTGTGTGTTTAAAACAGAATATTTTGTTTAAGGTCTTTACTGCATCTTATATTATTACAATAAAAACTGTCATGGTTTTTCCGACTTGTAAAATGGAAGCCCAGACAGGTTCATGAGAAAGAGGCTGGAAATGGAAGTGCCTTATTTTATAGGCGATTATTGTAAGAATTTGACTGGTGCCCACTTTTGACAGTTTGACAAAAATCAGAAAAGAACGAAATGAGATTTCTATTCCCAGTATTGCACTAAAGCACATACAATCAAGTTAGACATTGGTATACAAAATCTAATGCCAGAGGCTGTGAAGTTGCATAATGTTTTAGCGCTTGGTTGGTTGAACAATAACCTCAAATTGCTTTTGATTGGCAGCTTCTGTCTTGTATTTCCCCTGCTGTTGGATTGTGTAAGAAAGCTGGTGTCAAAGGAGCAGTATGAGGTTTTGTTCATGTAAAAATCCATGTTAGGCAGAAAGTAGACCCTTTACCATTACTGGGGTTTTTACACTTACATTATTTTTTACCTTCTTCTTGTCTAACTAAGTGTACAAAAACCAAACACCATATATTGAACCATCCCATTAAATTTTAAACCGTCTTTAAAAAATCCTACAAAAACCTAGAGTTCAGCTGTCATAATATCCCATATTCTATGAATATACAATAATTATCTGTTCTGAACAAATTTAGCATTGATAGGCATTAAACTTCATGTCCTATTGGTCTTGTATAATTTAAATGATATTTAACGTTGCCATGTTATTGAGATCCATTTTCATGTTCAAACGAACCAGGTACTTTAAACACTATTGTTCACTATAGAGCACCCTGTACTTAGACATTACTATTTAATGTTCACACAAGAAGAAAGTGGTGATGAAAGAAGTTGTGCCACTGAAGAGTGAGACTACATGACAAAGATTTATGTGGCAGTTTGTCCAGTGACGAGGACAAAGTAACAGTACCTTGGATACTACACAAACGAGAACTCTACCAAGAGATTTAAAAGTACTCTGAGGCTTTTTAGTCTGCTTCTTTATCTATTTGTGACACATTTTTAATTAAAAAAGACAAAAAATAAGCAGCCTGGGCTACATTCAGGTACCTGTTGTAGTTTTGCTCAAAGGAATACTTTACATTTGCAAGTCATTTTAAAACATGGTAGCAATGAACAGAAGTACACTTTCACTTTCTTGTCCTACTTGTGAGGTATTAACTGTGCTAGAGAAAGATAGCTGTGAAAGCGTTACGCAGATGACACCAAACTGGGCCGTAGCTAATCATTTGAGAAAAGCAGTTTATCAGAAACATGAAATAAAATCCTATGCTTGTGATTGCTAAAAATCTGCATTGTCCAACAACTCTAGTGCAGTTAATAAACAATAATTTTCTTCTTTTTTTTCTTGCATACCTTAGGTAATGTTGGCTGCATCCTATTGGTCATTGCTGGCACCCGCAATTGACATGGCAGAGGATTCTGGGAAGTACGGCTCATTCGCCTTCCTGCCCGTGGCTGTGGGATTCACGCTTGGAGCAGCTTTTGTTTACTTTGCTGACCTGGTGTTGCCCATGCTGGTAAGAATCTCGTATTTGACTGAAAGGATAATGAGAAGGACTATTGTGGTTGGCATGTACTGAAAACACATTTTCCACCAAACTGACCGAAAGGACTGTCCATGGATAAATTACCTTATGCTTGGCCATTTTCCCTAGCAGTACACATACTGTGAGAAGTTTCTAGAAATAGTTAAAGGTTTTCTGAGGTGAGTCAAAGTGTTTTTTTTTTACAGTACTGAAGTACCTGGAACACTCTTGTGTGGTTCAGATAATTACATAATTGGTTCTGAGAGCTGCTGCTCTTCAATAAATAGAGGCTATGCGAGAAACACTTAAGGCCCAGGTGATATTTTTTTTTATTCTTTTTTTTTTTAGGGTTTGGATCAACAAGGACTTTTTTGCTGCTTATTTCAGGAAAATGTAGCATTCAGTGCTGAGTTCGAGGTAATAATTTCCAGAGAAATAATGCAGGAGAGAGATGTGTTGGAAGATGGAGAAATTAGAAGTTTCCTCTTAGACTGCCCTGTTTTTGAAAGATAACAGGCATGTTGACTTTTCTGTAATGAGAAAACTCAGCCATACACCTGGATGTCTCAAACTCCAGCCCTTCGGGGACGGTGCCCTTTGGCGTTTGGTCGAGTCTCTCCAAAACACTTTCGTCAAAATAATTAGGTCATTAAAAAAACTGTCGGTCAGGATTGCGTTTTTTTCCGGTCCTGGACCAGAGGCAGGTGTAAAAGTAGCAGAACACAGACTCTGACAGTGCTGCCTTACACAAACACAACAAATGAGTAAATACTGCGATTAAAAATGGCCCAAAGCAAAATGTTAAGGGAGTAGGGCTCACATTTTGAAATATAATCGATACTTAACAAATGAATTTTTATCTTATAAACTGAGGCATTTTCTTTCTGAGCTGGCACACAAAACACTTTTCCTTTCTGCTTCATTTCAGCTGCTCACATGAAGGCTGAGAATTAAAGCTGGGATTCATTGTTTCAAGTTAAAAAGGCAAAAACAAAGACATTTTAGGGAGTAATTTGACTGTGGGGGGACAGAAAAGGACATTTGGAAGAATGTTAATGAGGCCTTATGTAAGTTGTTGCCACCGGTAGCCAGAAAACTAATTACCTCTACAAACTTTGCAAAGCATCTTAAAGACTGACTCATTGTTTATGAGGAACGAAGAAAAGCTCAGTAAAGCTTCCCTGCCTACACAGCAAGGTAATAAATCTGCCAGATGGAAGAAGTTAGCATTATCTGTTTAAATATGAGCAACTTGCTGCTAGCCACATTATGGCCTTAACTTCCTGCAGGGACGTACTGACACATGGCTGGAAGATGACGGCTTCATAGAGTATGAGAGGACCAAAAATACAAAATACAGAATAATGAAGTGGTGAGATGATTCACAGCTAATATGTTCAGCAGCTAAGGAGTTTGTGGTTATGACTGAGAAGAAAAACACAAGTAACATAAAAAAAAACCTTTATAGATACTACACAGTTCAGTCTCAACAAATGATAATTCAAGACGTCAAGAAGTGACTGTCTTTAAAATTTTGTTTCATGTTGAAAACACAGACTGAAGCTAACAAAGGTCAACCAGAAACTTGGTGTAGCAATTAGCCTGCTAGCTTTTAGAAACAAGAACTATAAATAGAAACACTGCACATAATTATTGCTAAATATGTTAGCATGAAACAAATCCCTATTTACATTTTAAAAAACTTGTTTTCCAGTTTCCAGTGTATGTATTTATCAAATGGCGTTAATTCAAAATGACAAGAATTTGGTAACTAAAAATTTTGCATGAGACAGATACTTATTTATATTATGAAACCTGTTTCAGGTTTGTACTTATCCAGCTCCTACTATCGTCATGCTCTTGCTAATTATATATTCATGTCCGTTTGTGGAACCATTTTTGACCCCCATCATAAGGCAAAGAAAAGTTCAACTTTAACAGTCAATTTTCTATGTTTTTTTTTTTTTTTGGAAATGTGAAAAAATAATAAAATGATGATACCTTAAGTTTCTGTTTAAAAACATCCCTTTAAAGGGAATCTGAATTTTTTTGTTTGGTTTAAGCGAGGCAGGACGGTTTCTGTGCTGCTGGATTTTGAGCAGGAGAGAGCAGCTGTTGCCTTAAGCTCCTGCAGTCACACCAGGACAGCAGCAGTGACACAGATTGCGTATGAGGGAGCAGACCATGCCTGCTTGGACAACACGACACACACACTCGAACAAACATGACGTCCATATGGAGTCCAGCAAGAACAATGGAGACTCAGAGCAGAAGCTGACAACTTTTCTGTCACGTTCAGATCAGATCCTTTTTGGTTTCTTCCTGTTCTGCACCTCTGTATACTTTAATTTCATGTTTTGTTCTTAACACTAATACTGAACTGTGGGACCTTATAAAGACCCCGATCAACTTAATTTATCACATGTTGACTCCTGTTAAGCCATAGAAACATCTGAAGGATGATGAGGTTGGAAATACTTTATCTCTCTAACTTTCTGAAATCATACTTTTTTTTCCGAGGAGCTAGAATTTGCAGTTGCTTTTTTTTTAGTTGGCTTAACCCTGGGCTGTTTTAAAAGTAGATATATTATACAATAAACATTTTGTTTTGAAGAGAATATTCAACCACAAAGTAAAAAAAATATATATATTTAACAGTTTTAATAAAAGCCGTTAAGGAAAGTTTGAAGTTAGCTAAAGTCAGTATTTGCTGATTATTCCTTTCGAGAAATTGTAAATTGACCAGAAGTCAGTAATTGTTTCGTCTTTTAATACATATTTCATGCTTCACTGCTCACTTGTTCTTGTCACAGTGTCACTGGTAACATGATGACATGTTTCCACCCATTAGACACAGATTAAACAAAGTTCCTTTTTCCTTTTGGCTTTGAAACACAAACAGGACCTTATGACAGGTGCAGTCTAGCTTGTAGCTATTAAGATCTCATTTATGTCTTGTAGGTTTTTTTCCTCTCTCATCTCAGCCAGCAGCTAAATAAAAAGCAGACGTTTCTGTACCACCCTTGCTATATCAGTACTCAGTTTTCCGAGATGGAAAGTGGATGAAGTCTCCGATTTACACCCGACCCAATGTTTATTCGATCCAATCAGGTGAAAGAAAGGCTATAAGTAAGCGTAACTCTGAGGGGCGTGAACGTTCACTGGCCATGGGACGTTGATGACTCGAGACATCTGCTCATTTTAGCTGTAGCTTCTGAAAAATAACAGACATGAAGAAGGCGCCTGGAGCACTGAGGTGTATGTCAGAGTCATCTTGTGTCGGGGGAGACGGCTCCTCCCAACGGGTCGGACCAGAGTAGATGAAGACGCCACAAGCTAAAGATGGCTGACACTTGAGCTGCTTCCAGATGTAATAAGGAAAGAAAGAAAACATACATGCTGAACACATCCCTCAGGTCGAAAGTTGTTTCTGGAATATTTTAGAACTTAATTGCCAACAACCCTCAAGCTTTGATAAAACTCAGCTAATTTACACGACACTGATCTAACTGTACCATGCAGTATTATTTGTCTCTATTTTTCAGGTATGTCCCAATAATTCCTCGTTAAAGAGGGATGGCTCATGATTTTCAGACAAAACAAATAGTCATACAAGGGACAGTCATCATACATTAGTTCCCTTATTCATATATATATACACACACTTTTTTATAATCAGTGTATAAGTACATAACCTTAGATCAGTTTCCTCTCTGCTCAAAACATAAAATGACTGGAGTCCGAGGAGCTTTAAAGAAATTGACTATTTTCATAAAAACTCGACTGAAACAGAATTGATATATATATATATATATATATATATAGCATTTATGAAAGTCTACCTCTGGTAAATTCAGAGTGTGTTGATGGATTCAAACGTACACTGTGAAATGTTATATTTGGTCATTTTAGCTAGAATATAAGTGCTGAAAAATATCCTTATTCCATGTATGTGGGGATAATCTTAAGTCTTAATTTGTCACTATTTCAATGCATCTCTTAGTATTTTACTGAAAGGGAACGTAAGATCTAAAATCCACTTTTTTTAGCCCAGGAATACATTTTGTTGTTTACTTTGAGTCTCTAGGAGTTCATAAAAGTTGAATTTAGTTTTTCCTAGTGCTGCGTATTATCTCTTTGGCTCATATTTTTCAGTCTGACAGTTTTCTCTAGTCCATATTACGTTCTTGAGTCTTTTACATCACAGTATTTACTGTGGAACTACAAAACGAGGTCATGGATATCTGGCTAACAATTTTCTTGAATCCGCCATTTTCACTTCTCGCTGTCAGAGTTCAAGGATGTTGAGTCAAATGATGAAATGACAAGAAACTTTTTGAGACATGAATATATTTGTTGATATTTTGATATCTTTAGCATCATTACTTTTGCTTATGTTAGCTCTTTGTGCTAGCTTTTAGCTCCTTGTGGACATAGCCATACTGGATGTTTTGAATAGTATTACTACATAAAAAGTTTGGAATTGTTTTTGCCATTTTTGTCTTTGGGTACGCCTGATCCAAATGCGTTTGGTGACGTTCTTGTCACCAACTACTGTTATCTGCGATGAAGCTACACAAATGGCCGAACAGGAAGTTCCTCAGACAGATTTAGAGAGACGGCATTGAAACGAGTTGCTGTCAGAAGCACCTCCAAAAGCGGGTAAAAAAAGGGGGGCCTACAATAACAAGGAATTTAAGCATTGAAGTTCTACTTTATACAGACCACAATCGAATGATTTAAGTAAGAAAACGAAGGATTTGAAAGCCTTATCCACTTTAACACCTGTAGATAATTAAAATTACATATACTCATTGACTTGTTTTCTTGCCAACATTTATGCCAATTTATCCTCCATGCCATTTTGAGTTCTGCTTCATGCAGTTGTTTTCTGCTTTTACCCGAGCCCCCTGCAGAACCTCGTTTGTTTCTCCTTCACCACATTTTCCACAGCTCCTCCGTGTTTTTTTTCGCTTTTGCTCTCTCTTGTC